TTTGCACTCCGTCGACCGAAAGGGACCACTTGGTACCCAAGACCACTCGTGCTAAGTGGAGATGCAAACTGAATGAAAACAAGTCCATCTCCATATTCACTTATATTGACTGAATGGACATCAATTGTCAACTTTCTTCGTCTTTAATACGACTCATTCTAGCAAAAGAGTCTGATGGCACCGTTCTTTCTAACTGCTGATAAATTTCTATTATTCTTTACCCCAATTAATTTCTAAATTCTCATATTAATTAATCGAAAGCCTTTAATTATATATTAAAATATAACTATTAATCTCTTTTTGTATATTGTATACAACAGTCCAGAAGTGTCGTCTTCAATGACTGATATAGCCTAAAGAGAGATGATTTTTGGAGAAGATAAATACTGGTAGATTTATTAAACTTTTATTATTTGTAAATTATTAATAAATTAATTAAATTTTATAATGTTTTTAATTTTATAAAATCCTTTTTAATGTAAATTATTTCACAGGCAATTTATAGAACGTAAAGAATAGTTTTAAGTTAGATTTTTGCATTTTTTATGTATTAATATTTTTATTTATAGAGTAAATTTTTAGAAACAATTTCATATTGTTGATTCAGCTTTTAAACTTTGCATCCAATATAATTAATACAGCAAATATATTGTCAGATAGAGATAATAAATAAATTTAAGGTTTTGGTTCTTGATCTTAAACAATATCATTAAAATAAACTATTATCCAATAAGTCTTTATATAAGTATGTATGAGAACTTAAGTATGCTGCTTGATACTAAAAAATGTTTATTTAAATATTTAAAAATTAATTGATTTTGAACATTTAAATATAGAAAATAAATATAGACTTAATTTCAGGTCTCAATTAAAGATGTAGAAAAATAATGTCAGTCTTTTAACTGTAGACTTAATGCTAAGAGATTAAAAAAATGTTTGATTTTTGTTACTTGTTAATTAATTTTTAAATATTAAAATATTTAAATGGTAAAAAAAATTATATTAAATTTGAATAATTAAAGTAAAAGCTTAATTGTAAAATATGTTCAAGATTAAATCCAGTTATTTGAACCTAGAAGTAAGCAATTATAAAATAAAAATGTGTACGTAAATGGAGGAAAAATATTTTTATAATAGTTTTTTTTACACAGTTACGACGTATAACTTGAAATATTTTTTTATTTTCTGCTTTAAATATTTTTTGTAATATTTATTTACTAAGACATACTCTAGATCAATTCCGATTGTTCATTTCTACTGTTTAAGCTTTAATTTATCATTTATTTATTAATATGTATCCTAAATAAAGTAAATAAAAATATAAATAAATATTTCATGAAATACAAATAATGTTTTTTTAAGTTAAAATAATATACTTATATATTTAAACTTATCTAAATTTAGACAAAATCTTATCTTATTAATTTAAAATTTCTAGGTAATCTTAACACAAGCCTACATAATTTATTTTTATACATAGCATTTTTCTTTACTATTGTTTTAGATTTTCTCGATAAATTAAATTAAACGTTAAAAAAATAAGCACATCTTTCCTGATACTAGGGTGAGTTAAGCTAAGTTATACAACTTGTAAGTGGTTAAAGTTTCGTTGACAGATAGAGAACAAAGAGTCTCTACACTTCCCCGAACTTTTAAAAGTATAAATAATGTTTATACACAAACATTTTCATATAAATCCTACAATTAAAATTTGAACAATTGAAAAGGTAATTGATAGATTATATTGGTCTATATATAATCTTATAATATATATTTTTGCTCTTTTCCTCGTCTCGTCGAGAACACTTAAGTATAAATACATCCACAGAAGATTCAATTATACAAAAGAAGATAATTCCACTCGATAAAAGACTTCATTTGCTGAATGACCAATATCTACCTGATAGGCGCTGTCTGACGAAGGATTAAGCTTTTTCTGACTGACAGCAGACAGCTTGCAATCTACAGGCGCTGTTCAATTCACCTAATCGTTTTGTGCTTTTCCATTCACTTCCATCTCTCCATTACCAGATTATCTCTTTAATAAAAGCCGTAGGAAACCGTGGTTGATCGAAGTTTGCACACAAGCACGAATCGTCACGTGTTTAGCTCCTTTACTTCTATTGGTCGTTTCTATTGTCAGTGCAATCCTGATCAATGTTTTCCTCGATGACAAACCCTCTATGTACTCATTATTCACAAAAAAAGCCATGAAATGAAAAAAGACTTATACTTTTCACATAAAAAATTTTATTTAATTACTTACTAGTTAAGAATTTCAAGTATTTTAAGTGTTTTAAATCTGTTATAATACCCTTTTCGTGTTTTTAATAGTACATATTTAAGCAAATTCAAATAAATAATTTTTATAATCGTTCTTATTTTTAAAAGAATCATAATTTGAATATTCTTATTTATTACCATATCTAAAGAAACGCTGAATATTTCATAATATTCGTGAATTTTATTTTTCTTGAGGTTTTTATGATAAAAAGTCATATTATAGCTTTCAGGCATTAAAAAACGTGATCCTTTATTAATGTTTTTCTTCTAATTTTTAAAAATTAAAAGATAATTTGATAAAACTTATTTTAAAAATTATGAGTTTATTTGCATTTTTTTACAGCTTATATTTAATAATTTGAAAGGAATGTATTTTTCTTTTTAATATAGAAATATAAATGTTTAATTTTATAAATTACTATGATTTTTATAAATTTAAATTTATATAACATTATAAAACTCATAAATTCATTAAAACATTTAGTTTCGATGATGATTTAAGTTGAAAAGTTTGATTTGTTTTAATTATCGCGAAAAATAAATATTAAATATACCGTAATTCTAATTGACAATGCCAACATTTATTTATCAGTTGTATCTAAAATTATTACTTAAATATTAATTAATTTTAAAAACGCAATCTTATTTTAAAAAAATAATAATAATATAGTACAACTTAATACAAAATCCCTTAACAGAAAATCCAACTGACATAGAAACAATCAACTGGGGTTTTGTAACTAAAAATGATCAAAGGAAAGATTATATACAAATGAATGTAGATTATCTATGGTTTTTGATTAGCCAAGTACAGGCTACAACTACACAACATTATTTCGATTAATGGAGTTTATATTATAACTTATATATTGTCAGCTTCTATCTTTTAATTTTAATCATAGGATTTTTTAATAAGACTTTTTATAGCTAAAATTTTCATTAAAATAATTTAAGCAAAAATGTAGTATAAATTTTTCTTGTAGACATAATAATCCTATCAGAAAACTTTATTGTAAAGAAGACACCATTTTCATACTTTTGTTATAAATTCGATATAAGTTTAGTTATGTTTTAGATGTAAATTATAAGTTTATAAAATTTGGCTTATAGAAATGTCAAATTCAATTAAATATTTTCATTAAAAATAGTAACTTAATATTCATAATGTAATTTTTTTCTGTTAGATCTAAATAAAATTTTTAAAAATGAATATTAAAATAAAAATTCATTAAAGATACGTTTCAAGCAAGATGGGAACTGAACCCACGACTTCGTGCATAATACACGTGCATTCTTTACTGATTATGTACTGTACACCGATTTACACCTTGGGGAGAATTTTCTCTCCAAAGATTATAAATTTCCCGAGGCATTTCAAGCAAGCACTCATAAAATCTATGTTCATTAAATTAAATTAACTTATGCTTACAGGTACAGTACAAGTCCTGCTAAGCTGAGAGATGTCGAGACTTCAGAAATTGTGTACTGTACAGTACATCACGCGTCCAAGAAAAATTCGGTTGCCAACACAAACATAATTATACATTACAGTTTCCGTTCTTAGTGTGTGCTTGCAATAAAACTTACAAATGTCATATAGGATCTTAATATAAAGTATTAATGAAATCATCTTTAATAAACTAATTCATGTAACTTTTACATAGAACCTGCATCAGTGTTTAGGTCCTTTAGGGAGCCAATGCTATACCGTTTACAAAACCAATGTTATATCGTTGTAGATGACTTTCTCCCTCTCCCTCACCCTCACCCCATCCCATTTAAACCAAATCCTACACAAACGTTGCAGTATAGATAAAACGATGGTTAGACTACGTGTCATAACTGTACTGTACACTTAATAAAATGTAATTATATTATGATGTAAATTAATAGACATTTAATTTTATATTGTATAACAATGAGCCCAATTGCTAACTACATATATTCACGAAAGTCTATATTACTCATTGTTTGTGATTAATGTAAAGATTGCGAATATAAATTGTTGTAAGAAACAAGTCAGTTGTAATGATATTTTTATTTATTGCTTATAGGAACATCTACGAAAATAATATATTTTTACAACAATGAAAATTAAATTTTCAAAAAATAGAATATGATACATTATCTCGAATTAAACTTAATAATGATAAAACTCCACATAAATGGAATTTAAATGAGGTACACAGTGAATATTAATTGAATTTGAGCTATCTAGTTTATTTTTCTATCTCTACTTTAATTTTATTAGTTAAAAGAAAACATTTCTTTAAATAATTGTTTATTATAGAAGTCTATAGGCCTTATAGGACTGAACATAACGTACTAATTATATAAGCCTAGCTTTAAAAATTATTAACCTTTTAAATTGTGATTTGGAAAGGCAATTTTTATATTACTAAAACTTTTATAAATAATTTTATATAATAAAAATAGCAAAATTTAAAAATATAAGTTATATTAAAGCATTAAAAAATTCTTAAATAAGAATCAAGTGAAAAAATTTTAAGTGATTTCTTAATTACGATAAGGATCCGTAAACCTTATCTAACGATAGAGTTGATAGTTTTATAGTTATTATAACATTAAACAATTTGATTGGATTGTTATAGTAGAGATTAGGCTATAGTACAGTACTATAGCATAAGTTTTTTAGATAAAATCGGAAAAATATTCCGTTGTCCAAGGATAAATAAATGTTTTATAAAATGCTCTATTTATTGATAATTAGCTGTACAATTAAGGAACCACGGAGGATAAATATATCCCATAGGAAATCCAGGAATAGGATACGAAGGATAGAGCATTGGTTTGGTTACATCTTCGGGTCTATATACTATTTGATCGTCTTTGACCAGTACTTTAACAGCAACACGTTTAGCAGTAGAAGGCATATCCTGTTGCATTAATCTTCTTTTTGTTTTATATCTTCTATTTTGAAACCATATTTTAACTTGAGTTTCAGTTAATTTTAACGCCTGAGCTAAATCTGCTCTTTCTGGACCAGATAAATAACGTTGATGGCTGAAACGCCTCTCCAATTCATATACTTGAGCATGGGAAAATGCCGCACGAGAACGTTTTTTCCTTGGTTTTGCAGCTTCTTCCACAGGATCTAGTGGACGGTGCTTCTTCGCTATTTCTGCAATAGAATGTAAAATATGAGAAATATTTTAAAATATAATATTTTAGGCCTATATGTTCCTTCCAATTATAAGTATCAAGAATATTATTTTATTAAAAATAAATTAACGTTAATATTGGAATTATTTAAAGAATCACAATTCTATAATAGCAGCCTCTCGTTATATCGTGAATTCGGATATATCACGTTTTTTTTTTGTCCCCCAAATTTTAAATGCATTTGAGTCAATAAATTTTAAATTACTAATTGCCGTTGAATTTCTTTTTGTAACGAAATAAGATATTTTATTCCTACCATTGTCTTTGAAACTATCACTGCAGGCGAAACAATAAATTCATCAAGATCTAAATAAGCAAAACAGGTGAACACATCTATTATCATTTATGTTTCCTTATCATGCTAAAAGTTGTTTATTATTGGTTTTAAGTACTGTCTCCTCATTTACAAGTTTCTATGAGTTTCACACCTTTATGTGAGTTGACGGTATTGCTACAATCCACATAAAGGTGTGAAATTTCAAATTCACCGCCTAATGTGTAAGGAAAAAATTTCTTTATTTCTGAACGGAAAGTTCTAAAATGTTTATACAGTAGTAACTTTATTTTATTGTTTAGAGTATTTTTACACTGTAATTTTATAAGTTTTGATGTTCCGTTATATGTTGAATATTTATTTTTTAAATTTTCAATTCTGTATTTATAATTTTTATTTAAAAATATAAATTACACGAATTTTTAATAGGCGATTTATTGCAAAATATAGCATTGTATAATAAAATCGTATCTGCTATTTTGTTTTTATATCAACAGTGTTTGTCTTTAAATGTCATTGTTAAAGAAACAATAATGTTAATTGAGCATTCGTGGTATCGATGTTTACGTAAACGTCAATTAATACGATATAACCACGAATAAAATTCAGTATTGAAAAACTGAGCTTGTTTTATACCAGGAACACTTTCTGATGAAAGAATAGAAAATAAAGATTTCATAGCTTATATAATCTGTTTAGTAAAAGCCCAGAATTTTTAGTACTCGGTTATATATCGCACTTTTTCTTTGTCTCCAGACAAGCGCGATATAACAATTATAAAAGTTCTAATAAAAATTAATTTAAATGATTGTGAATAAAATCAGAAAATGTAAACAGAAACATAAGAACAAAAATTAAGTCTAAATTTCGATAAATTAAACTTCATTTTATATAAAATTTAACATAAAAAGTTATATTGATTCAAAGAAAATCAGAATGTTTCAATAAAGCTGAAAAATTCGTAAAATATATAAAGTAAAATAAAACATCAGTTCTTAAATTTTATGATATATTTTCATGATTTTAGTCTTAATACAAAATAAATAAAACATTATTTAACACGAGTAAGAGTAAAATTTTTAATTTAATAGACTATCTTCTATAATTTCTTTTATCATTGTTTTCGTATTTTGTATTTTAGAGATATCTATTACGTTTATTTGTTTATAGGTGTAGTCAATCCATTCTAAAGGCTATGCCAATATATTCTGTAAAATAATAAGTAAGTAAATAAATATATTTTAAAAACTTTCTGTTGAAATTTGATGCCTTTAAAAATACACTCGATGATTCATGGAAGTTTTATAATCGCCGCTATAAAATATTTTACGAGAATAAATTAGATATTTAGATTATTATAATCTGATTAAACCTGAATTATTTGTAAAACTGTTTTATATTTATCGGCCTATAAGTTTAAATATTCAACACGCAATTTATTGTAATTTTTTTTTTTTTTTTGTTATAGAGACAACATATACAATGCTGAATAATGTTATAATACCGGCAAACAACAACAAAAATAAATTTTTATTCTTGTTGAATTAAATCTATTTTAAATTTGTTACAATAAACGAAGCTTTTTCTTTAAATTATTAAAAAATAAAGAATCAAATTAGAACCATAGAACGATATTTTACATCATATTTTAGCCTAAATTATGATAACTTTACACTAAAATTTGTAATAATTTGTAAATATTTTAAGTTTAAACTATTTTATCTCTTAATTTATATTTCTATTGTTAAATTTACTACTAATATGATAATTTTTCATTGTAAATCGTAATAACGTCAAGCATTTTTTAGTTCTTGTTTATCTAATATAATAGCTTGATTGGAAACGTAAAAATTCATCAAATTATTCTTTCAATTTAAGATTTTTTAAATATTTAAATATCTGTGAGTTAAATGGAAATATTTTAAATCAAAATATAAATTATTTTAATTTAAAAAGCTATTAGGACTTTTTAAAATTTAATGAGCATTTTACAATGACTATTTTATTATATCAATTAAGTCTTATTTTTAAATTATAATTCAGATTTATTAAATTTTTATTTATGTTTAATATTATCTTCAATATTAATTATATGTTAAAATTCAGTAAAATCTTATTTTTATTATTTTATAAGTAAATCTATAAAAATTAGAATTCTGTACATTTATAATAATCTATAAACACTATAAATTTTATTTAATTTTGTCACGATATTTAATTGTAAAATATCCGATATTTTTTAAATTTTGGACTTGTTATTTTTATGAAATTTATAAGTATATTATCAATTTTTTTAGAAAATTCTATATATAGTTTAGGCCTACATTATCCGAATAGATTTTAGTTCATTGAAATTAAAAATAACTAAAAGCCTACAAGCCTGTTTGTAAGTAGGCTACTGCACATTGAATGGGCGGTCACTTATTTTATTAAATTTATTTTTTATTAGAAAATTATTATATACTCTACGTTTTGCATTGTTAATCTTACTCAAAAATCTTACTAAATTTCTCATATTTTGTTAATTTGATTTAATCTTATATAATTAATTAATTCTATGAAAATCTTTCTGTATTATATAAATCTATAAAATTCGCCGTCTAATATATTATCTCACTTATTTTATTTAAATCTTAATACTTTTCTAATCCTATTAAATCATTGATATACTTTGTCTAATTATTCTTATGTAACTTTTTGAAATTGTTTACTAAATCCTCCGTGTTTCATTAGCTTCATTATACCTTTTAGGTTTAAGTAGAATACTTTAAGAATTTAGTAAAATTAATTCGTTTCGATTTACAATTATTCTACATTTAATAATTCTATAAAATTCGCCGTCTAATATATTATCTCACTTATTTTATTTAAATCTTAATACTTTTCTAATCCTATTAAATCATTGATATACTTTGTCTAATTATTCTTATGTAACTTTTTGAAATTGTTTACTAAATCCTCCGTGTTTCATTAGCTTCATTATACCTTTTAGGTTTAAGTAGAATACTTTAAGAATTTAGTAAAATTAATTCGTTTCGATTTACAATTATTCTACATTTAATAATTCTACTTTTCTAGTTTAACTCAATCCTTTATACTTCACTTTTAGTTTCATTGAATTCCTCATACTTATAATAGGAATTAAATTTCTAAACACATCTAGTCTTGTTATATTTTCTATAATTTATTATTTCTATTAAGTCCACTGTAGTTTAGTAGTTATTTGGAATTTTAAAACTACATATAAAAGTTTAAAGATCACTTCTTAATATCGATATGGAACTTCCAAAGTTTTGTAGCGATATTGATGACGGGAAAAAGTATTAAAGAACTGAAATAAAAATATAAAATTATAAATTACGATTGAACTTCTTGGTAAAGTGTTATTTAGCATTCGGCGCATCATTAATATCCTTCAAAGAAAAGTTGTTTTTATCTGGAAGAAAATAGAGAAGTTCCATTTCTTTATCGAGATATGTCATCGGTTAAGGTATAAATGTCATTTTTGTTTATAATTTGCAATGGCTGCATGACAGGTCTTCTACACTATTTGCTTCGATTCTTTAGCATTTCACTCCAATATCTTTGACTCCTGCTGTTTTACAGCATAAACGTTTATCTGTCTATAAGTTTTGCAGATGTTTCTCAAGTTGAGTTAATCTTTATACAGAAAAAAGTTTTGTTTATAATTTTTTATACAAATTCTCGATTATAAATAATTCTTAGAATCTAAAAATCTTTATTTCTTATAAAAATTTAAATGTTCTTCTATTTTAGTTATTGTAGAAACATTCTGAAAATCAGTAAGTGAGCCTTTAGTGTGCGCAGCATAGCACGAACTGTGAACCGTTCTAGCTTTAATTGTTACACCTATGATTAATTAAGGATCGTATAAGAGATCTGTTTAACCTCCTTTTGAGCCGTATTATGACCTTTGACCCGAACCAACCTAGAGACTTCCGTTCCCAGTGACTCCATCATCAAAACCATTTGTTAGTAGTCCTCATCCAAGCAAACAAATCGACGAACTGGGTGGATTGCCATACTTTAGCTTTAAGTGTTTACAGTTCACTTACTAATTACCCTAGCAATGACATTTATTGTTTTAACAACGCTTTAATAAGAAAAGAAAGAGCAATTAACTAATGTAATGATAAAGGTGAGTAGAAAAATTTGAAAATTTTAAGATTAAGTCTTGATTTCAGTAGATAATATGTGTAATTCGAACCTGTAAAACTTCGAAAATAATACGTTTTCAATGTTTAAATTGAGGTATAAAATAAAATTAAGCTTTTAACATCAATTGTTTAAACACGTTATTTGATATCCATTATTTTTCAGTATAATTTTATTTTAAATTTTAATGATAAATTAGATTTTTTAACATTTAGTGAGCTCATATATCCTAATTGACTGCATTTTATAATCATGACACACATTAATTAATTTGGAAATGTGAACTCCATTGTATTTAATAATTAAAAAGAATCTAGTCTAAACATATTTAAGGATATTAGTCACAAAAACAAAATACGTCTATTGTTTTATGTTAGAACACAAAAACTATGTAATATTGTAAGAAGAAGATATTTTAATAAGAAATTGTTTAACCTAATAATGAAACATTAAGTTTAATAATAATACCTAAATTTTCATTTTTCTCTCAAATTGCTGTATAAAAAAAATGTAAAAGTTTATAAAATTTATGTGAATTTTTAAAGTTTAAAAATCATTTTTTTGCGCCCTTGTTTCAAGTTTATGCAATAAAATTTATCATCAATCCAAAGATTTAAGGTAGTGACCTTAAAATTCCTATAAAAATTCTCTATTAGAATCAATTTAAAATAATTTATCGTCGATAAAATCCTTAACTATTTATTCAAATAATTAATAAGATGCAGCTATGCAACTATTGTCAAAATTAATATGCAAATCTTGTTTAAAGTTGTACAAATGAAATGAATTTACTCTTAGAAATGAAAGATCTAAGGACTTTATCCGTATTTTTAGCTTATTTTGAATATTGGATTTAAAAAAAAAATTAAAATAATGCTCAAATTGCTGTTAAAGTGATCAATATAAGTCATTTTAACCGATTTGTAATAATTAGATTGTTGAGCATTCAGAATATACTCCATAGATTAATATGTAACTTATATTAAGTATTAAGTATAGCCTATATATATATATATATATTCTTTTTATAATTTAAATCATTATAAAGGTCAATTAACTACAAAATTAATGGAAAAATATGTAAATTGAAGCTAAAATTAAAAAAAAAAAAATTGAACTTCAAAACGGAAAAACTCACCTTCTGGCTTAGTGTTTGAATTATCTTCACAGTGACCAGTGGTCAATAGTCTGACTAAGCTACCATTTTGTACTGTTGATGAAATAGGAACCTGCGAAGTAACGGTACACCGATAGGGTGCCTGTGGACGATGTAACTCCGCTCCCTGTTTAGATGTATCTCGTCTGTTTTCTGATTTTCCACTCAATATGTGGAAGATAGAAAATGGAATATTATCACCTTTGTACATGACAATTAATTTGATATTAATTAGGGATGACGAAGGGATGTGCAGGCTCCGACACGGTGTGTGGTCGAAGTGTCACCGAACAGTTTGTACGTGTGTATGTATGTGTGAGTGTGTGTGTGTGTGTGTGGCTTTGGATGGGGTGGAGACTGTCGCGATTGAGGCGGCGTTCAATTTGACAACTGTATCATGCTCCAATTGTTAAATTCTTTACTTTAATATCAGATTTTATTTACTTAATAATCAAAATACATATACATAACAAATCCAGGAAGTAAATCTATTTTTTAATTAATAAAATTTATCAATTTTTTCATAAATTGATCCGTGATAACAAGAAAAAAATTTCAAATTTTAAAAGCGATTTATAAAAAAAGCTAATTATTTTAATTTCATATGTAATTTGTTACTTTTCTTAGTATTATATAGTTTATTTAAAAGTTGTTTTGACATTTTTATTGTCGATATATTATTTCCAAAATTATAAAAATAGTATAATACTATACAAAATTAAAGAATTTTCAAAACACTTCAGTTTTCTATAAAGTTCTGCGAAGATTGTTGGAGATAGATAGAAGTGATGCGGGCAGATTAATAGCGTACAATAGAGATTACAACAGATATATTCCATAATATTGATAAGTATTGATATTCTGGAAATTTTTATTAGCAATGGTCCATAAATTTTAATATAATATAAAATTTTGAATTTGTTTAATAACAATAAACATTTATTTCTTTAATTTAAAATAAATAAATAAGTAATGTGAATATTTCCAAAATTAAATTTATTAACAATAATATCAATTTAATAACAAATATTAAATTAAATTAAAAGTCAATAAAATGATACTCAATGTTAACGAAAGTATATTAACCTTTAATTTTTCTATTTTTAGGTTCTGAAATTTTTCACAATGAAGTTTAATTTGTAAAAATGATTCATTTAAAGTTAAGTAAATCTAAATTTATCGTATTCTTTCAACTATACACTTGATAAATGAGAATAAATTAAGGTTAATAAAACAATCTCAACACATCTTAAAACAAGGGTAAAGCTAGACTGTCACTTTCTCTACTCATTTATCATGTGGTATCGGAGCACTTAAAGCACCAAACTTTGAATAGCCCATATCTATCTTGAGAGAAGCGAGTCCTCAATTACCATGTTATCCATCATTAGTAAGTTATTGCTATAGTTAGCAACGATTCAAAGTTATGATCGACTTTTACAAGTGAAACACATACCGACTTTAAGTAATAGACATTTCGTCTTATCTTCGACTCAATTAGCCTCCAAATTTTTTTCAAGAATCATACATTTTCTATATTATTCTTCTTAGTAAATATTTTTAAAAATATTCTTACTTAATATAAACATCCTAAATAAAGAATTTTGTACATTTAAGAGCATTTAAATGAATAAAACTAAAAAGAAATTTACTTCTTGAAAAGCTTTAAACAGGATCAAAGTTGAGATTTTTGACAAAAAAGTGGAATAAACTTAATTTTGCTTTATATATAAACGAATAATTGACTATTATTACGATTATTCACTCAAACTTCTGCTCTCTTTCTACTAGCACTTGCTCTCTCTCAATGGCTCTTCAATACCAATTTAGCGTTTTATCTCACCCTCATCACCGATGGCTAGGCTGTTTTGTTTGTAGTTAGTTGATAGGTTCTTATATTGCTTATTTTAAAATGTTTAATAGCCCTACTAAAGCTCGTTATAACCGCTTTAACTTAAACGAGTTTAAAATAATCTCGAAGCCTTCCATTAAATTTTTATTTTTATTTTAGTTAAAACAGTGTACTTTGTTGATACAAGCTTACATTTTAATATAAAAGAATAGTATTTAAAAGATAATTTATTACAGTAGCCCCTCGTTATATCGCGAATTCGTATATATAGCGCTTTTTTTGAGTCCCCAAATTTTAAATGCATTTGAGTCAATAAATTTTAAATTACTAATTGCCATTGAATTTTTTTTTTGTAACGAAATACGGTATTTTATTCCTACCATTGTCTTTGAAACTACCACTGCAAGCGAAACAATAAATTCATCAAGATCTAAATAAGCAAAACAGGTGCAGGCTATTATCATTTATGTTTCCTTATCATGCTAAAGTTGTTTATTATTGGTTTTAAGTACCGTCTCCTCATTTACAAGTTTCTATGAGTTTCACATGTTTATGTGAGTTGACGTTATTGGGACAATTCACATAAAGGTGTGAAATTTCAAATTCGCCGCGTAATGTGTAAGGAAAAGACTTCNTATTACAGTAGCCCCTCGTTATATCGCGAATTCGTATATATAGCGCTTTTTTTGAGTCCCCAAATTTTAAATGCATTTGAGTCAATAAATTTTAAATTACTAATTGCCATTGAATTTTTTTTTTGTAACGAAATACGGTATTTTATTCCTACCATTTGCCCTGCAAATTACCACTGCAGGTGAAACAAATAATTCGTCACTGTATTTATAATTTCTATTGAAAAATATAAATTACACGAATTTTTAATAGGCGATTTATTGCAAAATATAGCATTGTATAATAAAATCGTATCTGCTATTTTGTTTTTATATCAACAGTGTTTGTCTTTAAATGTCATTGTTAAAGAAACAATAATGTTAATTGAGCATTCGTGGTATCGATGTTTACGTAAACGTCAATTAAAACGATATAACCACAAATAAAATTCAGTATTGAAAAAACTAAGCTTGTTTTATATCAGGAACACTTTCTGATGAAAGAATAGAGGATAGAGATGCCATAGCATGTATAGGCCTAATTTGTTTAATATAAGTCCAGAATTTTTAGTACTTAGTTATATCGCGTTTTTTTTCTATCCCACAAGCGCGATTACAGTACTGTACAGTAGTCTCTATAGTCTGTCACTCGCCAGTCCGACACGTCCAGTAATCCGACACTCCGCAGGAAATTTTGTAGTTTATATAGGCATATATAATTTTTTTTTTCTTTTTTAATGCTTTGTGCAATATTTTACATTGTGTGATTATTTTTGCTAACTTGTATTAATAAACATAGTGATGTGTTCTTATGTGTGTAGTTCTATTTTTTTTTTATTCGAAATGCAGTAATCCGACAATCTGCTATAATCTTACACTCGCCGGTCCGATATATTACGTCGGATTACAGAGACTCCACTGTATTTAAATTTAAGCTTTATTTATATTTATTGAATTTAGGTTTCATATATATAAATCATTTTATACGCAAGAGTTTATTTTATAAAGGATTAAATAATGAAATTTAGGTAAATATTTATCGAATTAATTTTATGAAAAATGCACCAATTACTAAGATGCAAAATATTTTGATTCTGACTATGCCTATTTATTAGAGCAATTGCTTCATTGATCAAATTAATACAATCGTTACACAATTATTCTTTAAATTAAAAAAATATATATATATTATCTTAAGAATTTTTAAACGAAAAATAATATGTATGATAAATTAATCTATTATTTTATTTCAACGAAGTTCAAGCTTTTTTACAGGATTCTATTCAACATTCGAATTCATCCTAAGCAAATTAATTCGTCTTATGTTTCAATTTCAGAAGTATTTCTAGAATTATGTATAATATAGTATATTATAAAATAATAGTACATTAATAGCCTTATTAAAAATTTTAATCTTTCTCAATTTATAAATCACTTTAGCTAGATTTCTTTACCTTTAATTTCTCATTTGTAATGCAATCTTAACATATGATCTATCTTATTTCATATAAAAGTAAACTCTCTAAAAGTAAATTTTATTAAATTATTAATAGAATTAAATTATACAATATTAATGTAATTAATAAGACACACAAAAATAATAAATTTAAAAAATTTAAATAAATATTATTAAGTTTATAAACGTCTTCATGATAAAATCGAGATATTTTAAAATAATAAATTGCAAAATTTCTATCCAATTTCTCCCTATTCATTTATCTTTGATAATTTAAAATATGAATGAAAGTCGAACGGTAAATTTGTATATTATAAACGATGTTCTTTTTTCGAATATATCAGAAAATTGTATATAAAACTCTTATTAAAGTAGAAAAGTTTATTTAAATATGATTTAATGTATAGCCTAAATATAGATTAAACAGAAAAAGGTCAATAGAAATGTACAAAAGTTCGAATTTGTTGTATGAAAAGCGATTTAAGAGTATCAAAATGTTATATACTGTACAGTACAAAAGAGCGAGTTGTTCGAAAGTTGAATGTCTTAAAATTAAGGACTGGCATTATTTAAATTGATAAAAAAAAAATTAAATAAATAAATAAATAACTCTTTTGTTTTTAAATATTTTGAAAATAAATTTTTAGCATCTTCTATAGTCCAGTTTATATATCATTATGCTTACACAATTTTAATTAAAACTAAATTTAATAATACTTTAATAATTACAGAAATTATCAACTGTATTTTTGTGTTTTATCTAAATAAAAACAGTGTTATTCTTTTCAAGAAGTTCTTTAAAAATTTTCAGATTAATTTTATTATAAAATCGTAAAAGACATTTGGAAAAAACTGAATAATTACGAAAATTGCCTGAGAATTTTTATAGCCTTTCTTTTATGTATCCTGAAAGCGTGAGATACAAGATAACTTATCTATTAATTAATATATGATGTAAGTTGTAAGCGCGAATAAAGATCACAATATAATTTTAATGGCTTTTATCCAGTCGCTAACAATTAAATTCTACATTAAATTTTATCTTATTGTGTCCATTTGATAAATAATGAATTTATTTAATTATAGTGAACATATTCAAATTAACAGCAGTTTATAGTAGATTTATAAACTTATCACTTAAAAATTTATTAATACATTTTTTTAGAAAATCGTATTCTCTGAACACAACTTTACATAGAAAAATTAGTTAAATTTCATTCTAATTTTCAGTTGAATGAATGATGTTTAGTTTATTCTGTAGAATTATAATTATGAGGAATGAAGAAAATCAA